AATGATCGTAGGGGAATACATCTGGCTGAGCAGATAGACGATTCGACATTCTGCACAATGAACGACGACGCACCCACCAGGATTATGGGCAGCTCGCCAGATCTAACAATTGTCAGCGCTGGTCTGATAGACAGCGTATCATGGCGGCCTATGCTGACCCTAGCATCAGACCATCTGCCCATTGTCATCTCGATTGATAAACCTACCGACTTTGCTTTCGTGGATCACCGGACCTATGTCAACTTTTCCAAAGCTGACTGGAAAGGCTTCGCGGATGTTACTGAAGGCGCCTTCACTGCACTGCCCATACCAACCGACGTTCATGTAGGTGAACGTAAATTCCGCAGGGTGGTCACTGCTGCTGCAGCTCGCTTCATCGCAGCAGGATGTATTAAGGATCCACGTCCGAACTTTCCTGCTGAAGCGGCTGTTCTAGCCGATGAGCGCCACAACCTTTGTCAGGCCGATCCCGGAAATCCCCGTATCAGGGATCTCAATTCGGAGATTCGGCAACTTGTGAACGTACATAAGCGGAAGAAATGGGAAGAGCATTTGAAGACCTGCAACTTCGCCTCTGGTGTGAGCAAGCTTTGGTCCAACCCGACGAAGCGTGACGGCAGAGTCGAAATAGACTTTGGTGACCACGCTTCGTCGGACCCGGAGCGATGCGCGAGCTATTTAGCCCGCAGTTCATTCTGCATCCTCCGGTGGATAAAGCCGAACGTCGAGTGACCAGAAGGCTGCACAAAATTCCAAAACCCTGTGCGCCTCTTGTTTTCACCAGCGGTGCGGTAAGGGTAGCCATCGGGAAGGCGAAAGCCTCCAAAGCCATTGGACCCGACGGAATATGCATGTTGATGCTGAAAAATTTGGGTCCTGCGGGAGTAGCGTACCTAACGGAGGTCCTCAACCTGTCTATGGCCACTCTCGCCATTCCAGACATCTGGAAGATGGGGAGAGTGGTCCCACTGCTCAAACCGGGAAAACCAGCCAACAAAGGAGAGTCTTATCGCCCGATAACCTCCCTCTTCCCGGTAGCGAATTCACTCGATGCCCTGCTACTGCCGTATTTTGCGAACCACCTGACCCCAGCGAAGCATCAGCATGGGTTCCCTAATGTACATAGCACAACAACAGCATCTAACGCCATAAACAATAAGATAACTCGTGGCCTTAACCGAAACCGCCCCTTGGAGAGAACTATTCTAGTAGCGTTCGACCTATCCAAGGCGTTCGACACTGTCAGTTATTCAACGTTACTAGAAGATATAGGGGCCTTCTCACTACCACAGGGACTCAGCCGGTGGTCGGCGAATTACCTGAGTGGTCGACACTCGTCAGTAGTTATCAGAGACAAAACCAGCAAACCACGTAAAATTAAACAGGGGGTACCACAGGGTGGTGTCCTGTCCCCACTGCTGTTTAATTATTACATTTCAAAGCTTCCTCAACCACCAGAAGATGTCAATATTGTCTCCTATGCTGAAGATTGTTCGATCATGGCGTCTGGGAATGGAATTGTGCTCGAAAGTAAACGGTTATCTCGCCAAACTTTCTCGCTTCTTCACTGCAAGGAGCCTTGCCCTATACCCTGCGAAATCCTCGGCAACCCTATTCACCACCTGGACGAAGGAGGTCAGACTGCAACTGGGTATTCACGTTGATGGCGTAACAATACCGACGGTGAATAACCCGAAAATCCTCGGAGCTACCTTCGACAGTCTGCTCTCCTTCTCGGCGCATACAACCGCAATTATCAACAAAGTACAGAGCCGCAACAATGTCCTCATGTCGCGGGCCGGCAGCGCTTGGGGCAAAGATAAAGAAACGTTGTTGGCAACATCCAAGGCAATTGGCCGGCCGGTGTGGTCGCCTGGGACTAGCAGGACGCAGTGGATGAAGCGACACGAAGAGGCCCAGATGCTCCCAGTCAAAGAGCATAATACAATGCTCTGCAAGCAGTTCCTTGTGGGGAGCCACCGACGTGGTCATCCCAGAAAACTTGCAGAAGAGAGCTCGCCAAGGCACGTCGGGAGGCATCTCTACGAACTGACGGACGAAGTCCAGAGGGTTATTAAACAACCTCTGAACCCGTCGGTACGCAGGCCCCGAACGGCATTCACAGGGAATCAGTCTCGAGTTATGTAGACTCCCGCGCTGTGAATGCTGTTCTAGGGACACAACCACCGGACGTGGACGGGACAGAACTTTGTCTGCCTCGTGAGACTCGCACTACAATAGCCCAACTTCGCTCTGGCTATTGTCGCAGGCTAAACGCTTACCTGAGCAGAATCAATGAGGATGTGCCCAACCATTTCCCGGCATGTGGAGAGTCGCCACATGACTCTCGACAACTCTTCACATGCCCTGAGAACCCCACTCAGCTGACGCCCCTCTCCCTATGGACAGACCCTGTGGAAGTCGCACACTTCCTGGGCCTCCCCCTAGCTGAAATGGACGACAACGTTGACGGATGAACCGACCCGAGCGGGGCTTAGTAGCCGCTACAACAACAACATCCCTTCCTTGTTCACCTTAGCATTGAAATCGTCAAGCACGAATTTTATTTCTTGCCGGGGGTAGTGCTCATATGTACACTCCAATCGCTCATAGAAGATATCCTCNCACATCCCTTCCTTGTTCACCTTAGCATTGAAATCGTCAAGCACGAATTTTATTTCTTGTCGGGGGTAGTGCTCATATGTACACTCCAATCGCTCATAGAAGATATCCTCGGACGACCCGTCCTTTTCCTCCGTCGGGCATGGGAGCAGATGTTGAATAATCTCGCTTTGATGCGGATTGGGGCTAGACGTTCATCCACCGGGGTGAACGCCAGCACCCAACGACAGAGTCTCTCTCCCACAACATTTCCAAATCCGAATTTTCGCTTTTCTGCGTTGCAAATGTAGCAGATGTCTCAAGGCTCCACGATTACCTTGCCTTGCCAGTCCATCGCGTTTCTTGGATGGCGGTGATATCAGCCTTTGTACTCCCGAGGACATCGACAAGCCGGGAAGAGGCACCTTTCACATTAAGGGTACGGATATACCAGCTGCATATCCTCAAATTAGTCCTTTATACGTTTGTCGGGCTCGTGATCAAGAGAAGGGGCACATCCTAGGCATGTTTTTCTTTTTCACTGGGCAGGGTTTTAACATGGCCGGATCCAAACCCAGCGCATGCGAGCTTTTACGCCTTCTCATTTTAGCTCGCTCCCAAACGGGTGTTTGGTCGCTACGTGGATATAAATATCCGGACGTTGTGAGTGGCGATTTGAACCGTACGCACAAGAATCAGTTGTGTCCACTCCTAGGTGAGTGGCAGTCAAAAGATTTTCCCACTTACGTGGAGTTCTGCTCACGGAACCATCCTCCCTGCGTATATCTCATAAACAATACAACAAATAATTTAAAATAAGATATTACAAATTTATTTAAAAAAACTGAAACTTAAAGGACACCTTTGATCGAGTGGACACAAAGCAAGTGTCTGCACATTAGCAAAACACAGGAAGTGTCTGCGGAAAGTGCATTTTAGTTCTTGCATGTGGTGGCGAAAATATAAATGGGGGAGAACCATTTTATCAAGCTTTGGTTATTTTTCTTGTTTAAAAAAGGTTAATATTTTAAACTTTGTACAAAATTTATAAAAATTCTACGAGTTTGATCAAAATTTCACACTTTATTCAGAATTAAAAAGAAGCTAGGTATGCTAGGACTTACCGTGGATTTTTGGCAATTTTTTGGGCACACATTTTCTTCCATACAAAGTATGCTGAAATTTTTTTTTTTTAATGGGAAAAGAGCAAACTCTTCAACAGCATAGACTAGCGCCTCACTAACAAGCACGCAAAAGACACTTCGGCCGTTTTCTCGCGACAAAGTAGTGAGTGGAAACATGAGCCAAATATAATCGAAAACCGCGGTACTTGCATGAGCGTATTGTCGAATGCGCCAAAACAGAATTGAGCGGCCTGTATATGTTTTTCCTCCCACGTATCCGTAAAGAACTGTTTATTTTCGCGTACACTCTGCAAGTGTCAAAAGTTATTTGCGAGCTCTGCCTGAAGCTTTTTCGAAATCTAAAAGTTATATTTAAAAAAATAAATCTTTAACCCTAATATCAAGTTAATCATATTCTGATAAACGTTGAAGATAATCATGCGTAAAATTGACGCATGAGTTTTAACCAGCCGTGTTGTCGTATTTTTTTATTGATTAAATTCGAGTAAACTAATATGGACTATATTTTTGTATAAAGATGTAAAAAAAATACCAGAATTTTAAAAAGGTCTATAATTATTCATTAAGGGAGAAAGCAAAGACAAAATAGCGCTATGTTGAAAAAACGAAAAATATTCCGAAAACGCATGCTTCAATTTTACGCAGATTATCTTTTCAGGGTTAAACACGTAAATAAAGCCTTAGTAAAAACTATGATTATTTAGCGGCTCTATGCTAGGTTTGCTCACAATTCGTTTTAAGGCAAACTTTTGAATCTTCTCCTGTCCCTTCAGTTGATATCAACAAACGCCAGATGCAGTATACACACCTAGAAATACATATTTCGTTTTAAGTATACCTATTATTAAAGGAGTCCTAATGATTACTATATTTTTCTTGTAGATAACAAAAAATCAGTCAGTTCACAACGGCACAACGGCTATCGAGCAATCTTTTACTATAATGGCAAAAACACCGTTATCCACGGAAGGAAATGGATCATCCCTAACTCAACTCTCAAAAAAAGTGGTACCTGGCCCGATTTCTGCAAGTCACATAACAATCGATGACAAAAAAAATGGAAATAAAGGGTGCTGTTCAGTGCAATAAGTACACCCTGGATTCCCTTTAATAACTTTAATGTATTGCACTTGTTGAATAGATATTAATATATTTCAGAAAAGCTAAAATAATTTAGCGACACAAGCAGTATGTTTTTAAAATTACATCACAATTTGTAAGAGTTAATCAATATTGTTTGCAACCAAACTTTTATCAATATGAATATTCCTTAAAAACAAATTTAAAATCTTTTTTAGTTATGTAAATATCATATATTATGCTATGTGGTTTATCTCAAATAAATAATAAACACCTAACTGCTTACAGTACCTGATTTATTAATAACAGTTCAGCAAAACGTGATTCAGCCTAAAATTTTAGCATTGCTAGTAATAACACTAATTTACAGATTAAAAAAATCCAGAATTTCTCGACTAATATTTTCTTCTGAATCCAAATATAAAGTCAGGTATGTATTATGTAAGTAGAACAGCTCCCAATCTCAAAATTTCTTTTTATATTACTGAAGCTTTTTATCTACCTCAACAACATTTTCGAAACGGATTAGTAGTTTAGGAGCTTTAAATTAGTTTATAGACAAATTTGAATAATTTTTTTACAAAATAAAATACTTTCGGCGCAAACCTTAAGATGAAGAATTCCATATGTACATTGACTTGCGTTTCTCTCTTGTACGTGAAAGTATGATCTTTTGTGAATACAACAATGTAAATGGGATAAGAAATTTAGAAGTAAGAGCACTTAAGTGCGTACATATGTAAAATCACATTTCCATACAAATAATGAGTTCATTAACAGNGTTTCTCTCTTGTACGTGAACGTATGATCTTTTGTGAATACAACAATGTAAATGGGATAAGAAATTTAGAAGTAAGAGCACTTAAGTACGTACATATGTAAAATCACATTTCCATACAAATAATGAGTTCATTAACAGTTAATCTTTTGTATGCATTTTTGCTTAACCCTTAAATGCATGATTTTTTCAATCTGAAAAAAATGGTTAAAAATGCATTTTAGCGGAACCAGGCCAAAATTGACGAAAATTTTCGAGAAATACTTCACAAGTGTACAAAAAGTAATAAATACGCGTTAAAATGCGTTCGCTTACTCCATTTATCGTCCGTCGATTGATACCACTCTCGAATTGTCAATTTTGACCTGGATCCGCTAAAGTGCACTACTACCAAAAGTTTATATGGAATCTAGAGTTTCAATACAATTTCAGAAAATGAAAACAAAAACCACCAAATTTTTGTTTTCAAGATTTTATTTATATACGTGGTATTAACTAAAATTGTGTTTATGTGAATGTGTAGATCTCCCGCTCATTAAGTACCGCCGCCAAATAAGTAGTCGGGTTTTAGCGAGCCCGAAAGAACAACTGGTACGATGAGGCATGTCAGGAAGCTGCAGATAAAAAAGATGCCGCCTATAGGGCTACGCTGCGATCGGGCGCAACGCGCGCTATGTGGGACCCCTGATGACGGAGTCGACGTTCCACCGCCTGACTATGACGAGGTACGAATAGCAATAACGTGGCTGAAAAACAACAAAGCTGCTGGAGCTGACAGCCTGTCAGCTGAGCTATTCAAGTACGGTAGTGAGGAGTTGATAAGGTGCATGCATCAACTCTTGTGCAGAATTTGGGCAGATGAACGCATGCCCGACGACTGGAATTTAAGTGTGAAACAAGCAAGCAAGCAAGAAAACATGCTATTGTAGTATATCTGCAACACCATGCATTTATGCGTGGACAACTTAGTGTTGAAAACAGGATTGTATGGGAGCTTCAAGCAATGAAAAGGCGAGGACCAGTACAAGTATATTCTGCTAAAGGATCTGTCAACAGATAATGTGTGGTATTGACCCCAAATTAGCCCTCGTGGAAGATACAAATGGCTGGATGTACGGGGTACACACTAACAAGCTGCGAAAATTGTGGAACCTGGTTTTGCTTCAATAAGACACACAATTGCTCTAGATAATTGCATGCGTAAACGTATGGTGTTGCAGATATACTACAACAGCATGTTTTCTTGAATTTGCATAGAGTTGCAGATCTACTTCTCTTCTTTTTCTTCTTATTTGGCACTGTAACCGCCTAAGCGATTTTGGCCGAGTTCGGCAAAGCACGCCAGTCGTTTCTCTTCTGAGCCAACTGACGCCAGTGGGAAACGCCAACTGAAGCCAAGTCCTTCTCGGCCTGATCTTTCCATCGCCACCCACTTCCTCTGCTATTACCAGCGGGTTCCGAGTTGAATACTTTCAGAGCTGGAACGTCGGTGTCCATTAGAACGACATGGCCAAGCCAGCGGAGCTGCAGTATTTTAATTCACTGCATTATGTCCATGTCGCTGTAAAGCTCATCGTTCCATCGTCTGCGGTACTCGCCGTCATCAACGCGTAAAGGCCAGTAAATCTTCCGCAAAATCTTTCTCTCGAATACTGCAATAGCCGCCTCATCGGATGTTGTCATTGCCCATGCTTCTGCGCCATACACCAGCACAGGCATGAAGAGTGACTTATTGAGTATGGTTGTCGTACGTCGAGAGAGGACTTTACTCCTGAATTGCCTACTCAGTCCAAAGTAGGACTTGTTGGCAAGAGTGATTCTGCATTGGATTTTCATGCTTCCAGTGCAATGGGGTATAGTCATTGTACTGTGTATGCAGTTACAGCTGCACGGCTATACTC